CGGAAGAGCCCTTTTTCCTCATGGGAGGAGGAAGACAGGGCTTCCGAAAGAGTATGTCTGCTCTTCTGAAAAAAACAAACAAACAGAAGAGCAGACGTGTTCCCTGGATGCAGTGAAGTTTTTCTGGGATACTTTAACACTCATCTTCCAAATCCCTTAACCACAGATCCTCTTCCTCTCTTGTGATCAGAGGAGCCAACAGCCTTGTCACACCCCTGGGTAAGGTGTGTGTGGGGAGGAGGGCCTGGATCTGCGCTCCTAGAAGGGGCAGTACATCAGGCATAAGGGCTGGGGCAGGTAGCCGTCAGAGCCGTTAGAACCTCAGTGTGCCCCACACTAACATGCAAAGCCACTCAGAGCCTGTGGCGCTCCGACGGTGATTTAAAGGGTTCAGGGCTCCAACTGCTACCTCTGGAGCAATTGCCTCCTTTCCCTCCTGTCAGCAGGCCTGCTTCTATTCTATTAATTCTATTTAAAAACAAAACCAAAAGTATCCCCCATTTCCCCAAAGACAGGAGGCAATGGAATGAAAGTCTTAAAACCCATGATACGTAGAGTTCACCAGAGAGTTGTGATGAGAAGAAATACAATGAACAACTTCTGCTACAATATGAATAAAACATGCATTATGGGGTATGCTTAATCATGCAAATACTTAATCGATAGGAATCTCATGGTGGGGATGGGGCAGCTTTTATGACATGAGTTGAAAAGTGAATAGAAGCTAAGGACATTTTTCTAGTGAAAACATTTGATATGACCATCATAAAGCAAACTGCCATAGTCCAATCAGGAGCAGCAGCTGTCATAGGAAAAGTGACATGGATTGTGCTGATCTCTCTGTCAGAAAAATTGCCACTAAATTGACAGCACTATAAGAAAAAATATGGTAGTGTAGCTGATAAATAGCTTCTTTTGTGACAAGAGATCCTACAGCAGAGGGGGGAAACATATTGAAAGTGAGTCAACTTTACATTATGTTACTCTCACTCTAATTAACATGTTAGTCCTCAGGCAAAATGAGCCCTCTTACACATCCCACACTTCTAAACTTGTCCTAGTTTCCCACATTTCCCCCCCATTTTA